TTCGTCTTGCGTTAATTTCGCGTTCGTGCATTCGGTCTGGTCCGCCGAACTCGTTCACGTTTAAGACATGCTCACGTAGCAGCAACAGATATAGCGTTTGGGGAAGAAACTCAAAATGCGAACGTTTTGGATAGCTGAAGCAGAAAAAAAGTGGTAAACGTAATTATATCAATAACAAATCACAATTTTAGAGGTCAACAAAATTTAAATGAGTTAGCAAGATGACAATGGCTACAATTTTTATTCTTTATTCGTTCTATATCATTTGAATTTTGTTGACCTCTAAAATTGTGATTTGTTATTGCTTTGCAACTAAACGAGCGTTATATTTTAATACTTTGTAATTATGTCACTCTAGAGAAAATAAATGGAGAAATACATATATCTATTTAACATGTTATTGTAAAGGGAATTAAAAAGGGAATTACTTCGATTAATTATTAACATCTTTGGAGTTTCCTTTATTAATAACAAAAAATTCAAAAAAATCAGGGCGAATGAGAGTCAACAAGGTAGTTAATACACAATCTTAAATCTTTATTCTAGAATTTTTATTTCAAAAAATAATACGTTTCAGTTTACTTTGGAATCATCCTCAGCAATACAATTTCAAAATATCAATCCCTTCGTGTCCGAGAAAAAATCACCAACAGGTTAACAGATTTGTTGTTGTAATCGCAAGACATAGAAGTATTTCATCTCGATATTGGATCAAAATTTATTATCATTAAAGAATATCAAGTTAAAAATCGCATGTTGATCGCAGCTCGAATTCATTCGAGAGTCTTCTTGATTTTTTGGATTTTTGTTGTTGTTGAATTTGGGAGAGTCCGTAAGAAGATTACATTATTATACTTGGAATTTATATTAATACATCAAGTAACTAAAATATATCAAGTATGTTTTCTCTGAACTTCATACTTTATCTAGTATGAAAAACACACATTAAAATAATGTAATTTCTTTAGATTTTAGGTCATTGAACAAAAATCTGCTTTAATCTTTTAAGTTATAATAAATTTCGGAGATGTTAATTACTTAATTAAATACATCTTGATTACGTGGTAATATTTAGTAATATTTTAGTTAGTCTCTCAAGTTTAGTTCTAAAGAAGTCTAGCATATTTTATTCATTTAAGGTCGATTATTTTTTTGATACATAAATTATCAATTGTTTTAAAATTCTTTGAGATATTTATAAAAAAAGACTTTATCATGTATATACATCGTTAACTCATTTTAAGTTCGCTATTTTGAGTAACTCAGTCGTGTTATTTAACGACTGCCAATTTATCATGTCTCTAAGATTTGTGTATCGATCAAGTTAGGTTAGGTTCCGTCAATATTTTATCTGGATAACCTAATGGAACCAAGGGAGGCTTACGCGAACGACGACGAGGCCGTTAGGTGAGCACAAATTGGCCGGTTTCCGATAAATATCGACGCGGGCGTAAAGCTGCAAGAGCTTTACGAGATTAATAGTCTTGCCCGGTCGCCATGACGAGCCAACGAGTCGTCGCCATCTTGGAAAATCGCCATCGCAAATATATAGTTAGCTGTGTTACAGTGTTCTCGCAACCTCCGCCTTCGTTTGGCGAACCTAACTGAGTGCAACCTGGTTTCTCACGAAATTACCCATCCTACCGCAAGGTATAATTAAATCGTTACCGAGCCAGCCTCGCCGCGAGGATCAGCTCTGGAAAATAGCGACCGCTTTGAAGGCGCTCACGGCAATTCGCCGAATTTAGCGGCGCTCAAGACATCGTCGTGATTCGATTATATGATATTAATTGCGAATATATTCAAGCACCCTTTACTTCCCGACTAATGGAACTTGTCTTCCACTCTTTGAGGAAAATATTAACTCATTCACTTCGCGTTCACGCTTATAAGTTAAGTTAGGCGACGCAACCATGAAGCTTCTCTCAACTTATCTACCTATATCTTATTTTATAGTATAAACTTTGAGATCGGAAAAAGAGAAAGTTGATGAGAGACAGAACTTTTTTTATTATTTTTGTATCTGATTGAATTATATCTGTTTTTTTCTTTTGAATATTTTCTTCTGATTACAAAAAGGATTACATTTTTAGGGTTGTTCTATAGTGTGGATATGTTCATAAATCGGAAGAAGTAAATCGATAACGGGATCGCCATGTTAACTCGAACCTAATTCTAACCTAATCCTAACCTAATCTGGCTTATATCACTGGCGGATGTTCGCGTTCACAGCAATGGCGGCAGGCAATGAATGCGCGGCCTATGTATCGTAATTCCGACAGTTAGCAGTTTGTTTGTACTTGAATCCGATGCGATATCCGGCTGACCGGATGCCGCATGCCGCGTCGCCGGATGCGGCAAGGTGCGCGGAGACGCATACTAACAACCTGGCCGCGAAACGATGCGCCGCGCTTTTTCGAAATGAGGTCGAAACTTCGTGCACCTGTTCGTGTCCGGGATTCTCAAGTAACGATAGCTGCGAAGAATGGAATATCAAGATAAAATCGAAGATATTAAATGAATCAATAAAGGCTGTTTGAACTGTATTTCAAATTTGTGACGTATATTCACGGAATGAATAGATCCTTCCTATTGGCGCCTTTCCTTTGTTAGGAATTAGGATTTCACATATCTATTGTATTTAAAAAGTTGATGTAAGGAAATTGTGCCAATTCTATTTTGTTACAAGTTACATTGAAAACAATTTACTAAATTTAATATATATATTTTTTTATAGCATTAAGTAAACGTTTACTTATAGTAAATAAATATTTACTCGATAAGAAAATAATAGTGATGATTCTTGGACCAAAGTATTTACAGTTAGTAAATATTTACTTAGAATTTATTTATTTAATATTTTTCATATTTATTAAAATTGAATATTTAATATTTTTCTCAGTGTAGCACAAGTCATGTATCTATTTTATTTAAAAAATAAATTTTACGAAAATATATCAATTCTACTTAGTTGTGAGTATAGTTAATGCATCGAAAAAGAAAATCGTAAAGCGTCAAGCTGAGAAGTATAAAAAATATGTCTTTATACATTATATTGTTGCGAGAATACGCGAGGAGGATATTACCGAAATTAAGACTCCGCTGCAGCTCGGAGACTCATTTATCTCAGAAATAAGTAAGCATAATTAAAAAATACAAAATATTAAATTTTCCAAGTTGATTTGCGAGTAAACTTCTCCTTTGGATCTCTGAATAGCGCGAATTTATGAGCACTGCGTATTGATTTTACGCGATTTTACTGTGAATTTTAAAATATTCCATAATATAGAGCCTCCACATTTGCATTGCTCTGATATCATACCGAACGGTTAATAAACGCAAAACAAAATAGCAATAATTCAAATGACATCGAGTGTTGACCGTTCAACATCGCCATCCATCAATTTTAATCAACGGTAATCGATAAGCGTAACACGCGCCCTTTTCAGATGCGCGCACATTTTCGATTAATAAACGGTTGTTTAATTCTACGTTTTTCGCGCATCAATGCTGATTGAATTACCCATCGGGGCGTCCTGAACGCGCTGTCTCTACTTCCTCTCTCTCTCTCTCTCTCTCTCTCTCTCTCTCTCTCTCTCTCTCTCTCCGTTCCGACTCAACGACCTGTGACCTTCCGCCATCCACCATCCACTATCCGCCGGCTTCTTTCATTCGATGCCCTCGATGTCTACATACTCTCGTGCACTTCGATGCCGCGCTCTACAGCGCGTTTCAAAGGCGCCCGATGCATCGAGCTAATTAAATTAATTAATCGAGTGTCTATCACCATCTCTGGTGAAAGTAATGAAAATGACGGTACTTTTAAAGCTTCAGAGAGTTTATTACTACTAATTAAAATTTAAAGCGAAATATTTCATTACTATTTGATATCAAAGAATTTAAAGGAATGCGAGAAATAATAACTTCCATTGAAATATCCGCTTAAGAGTTAAGATTTTAAATTTCATTTATGTATTAGATAATGTACAGTTTGTCGCAATAATTGAACTTTTTTCTACAGGCTAAATAATTAAAGCTCTAAAATATAGTATGAAATTATTTTCTAAAATTTTATTTCTAACTCTATCGAATTACATTTCTTTGTGTTATATTATTTATTTGTGACATCAAAAATGAAAGTACGTTTTTTATTTACCGAGAAAAATGAAGAGTGAACACAGCTTTAAAAGATGTTTTAGTGTTTGACCATCCAATTTACTTTATATAGCTTCCTGCGATTTTCTTTTTTCAAAGTTAAAAATGAAGCTGAAACAACATTTTAACACAATTTCGAGAATTATGAGATACGCAAAATTTCGACCGAGATCATTTCCTTCATTTCAAAAGAAGTTTATTAGAAATATTTTTAGAAATTCTACGATCGCAAAGACTGTATTAGATGGAATGTATTTGAAATAATTAATAAATTACAAAAATCATAAGAAATTAAATTTTTTAATATTGAATATTTAGAGATTAGGAAGGTTGACAATTTTACATTGAATGAGAGGAATTATTTTTCAGTCATAATTACTTTTGAGTTAGTTCTTTGATGGATCTATAAAGATTCGTATGGCAGATAAATGGTTTTTACGATCTCCTTGGAGCAAGATGGAATGACACTGTTGAAAAGTGTTTTCGTATTAAATATGAACACGGGGATGAAGCGTGGCACAATAAATGGCTGGAGAGTATATCATGATAATGCGGGCCACTCGTAATTCATAGCAATGGCGCGACGTGGGGATCGCGGTAATGCGAGGCGATGTTAAAGTGATTTTCATTTTTCGTAAAATTCATTATGTCCGCCATGTTAAGAAGTGTCGTTAATCATGGAGTGCTATTAAATGCCACCGAAGATATGACGACCGGTTGAATTTCTGAAAAACGTACGGCTTAGCGCGCGCTAATATACTATACATATGACTTATATATGCCGATTTTTATACGTATATAAATGTTATAATTTAAATTCACTGTAGACGTAACCTGAATTTCAGATGAGGAGTCCGGGGTCTACACGGGAAAACCTTTGCCCACTTACAGACCGACATCGCAGTTGGTGCCCCTGGGAGGTACAGCGAGGCTCTTCTGCGAGGCCTACCTGGGCAAGGTCGACTTGCCCGACGCCAAGAATTCCGTCACCTGGTCGAAAAGCGACAGCAACGTGACACTGCCCAGTCACGGTAGGATAGCACAGCACAGGGTGTCCCGGTAAGTCAAGAATAATTATGTCGAGAAAATACATTTTCATCCGATAAAGATATTGAACATATTTAAATAATTTGCAAGAATTCTAAAATTAAAAAAAATAGATACAACATTTATAATATATTAAAATGAGAAAACATTGTTCAATAAGCTAGAAGAAAGGATGCGATTATGAAATAGGTGGGGAGTTACGAAATATCGCGATATTTCTTATAGTTGCATTTGGAGCAATCATTAAAATTATTTCTTTATAGTCTTAGACTATAAGATGTTATAATATGATCATTTGGTGGATTATATGTACAATATCTTGTATCATTCTTAAAAAAAAAAAGATTAATTTAATTTTTTTTCTTTTTATAAGTAACGGTTATCTTCAATAAATTTTTTTCTAATAATCTTAAGATATACTTATTATAAATTTTAGAAAAACTCATTATTATGTACTCAACAAGAATTTATTTTCTTTTGAAGAGTGTTTATAAATTGCGAAGAAGAAACTTTAGTAAACAAATCGAATTTATTTTAATTTAATATCGATCGAAGCATTAAACTCACTAAGATTCAGAATATATTTTGAATAAATTTGACGCTTGTGATGAATTTATGATATGCAAATATATGAACCTTTGAAATAGATATTTGAAAGTAATTATTATTCGCATACAGTTTATGTTTTTCTACACTTTTTATGTGTAATTTTGGGAAATATGTTGTATGGTGGCTTTCAGTCTAGCTTGAAGGCCTTGAATGCGGCTTTAACAAATGATATTGAACTAAATTTGTTAACCAAATGTGTGCATGTATTCAAAGTGTAAAGTTACACCTACTATACATACTGATTCGTGATATTCCATATCTCCCTATCTGTTCCATAGCTGCAACCTTTTTTTCCTCTTCAGTTTTTTATAAATTATATTCTGTACACCTAAAGAACTTACAGCATAAGCGATATCAATCTATGACTAACAAACTTGTATCAAAAGTAGTTATATCATGAATATCTGTTATTCCAGTAAAAAAATAGTATTCCATCATCCTCTTTCTTTAAAAATAATAAGTGTAGAATGAGAAACTATAGACAACACAGAGATAAAACTGCTAGACTTTAAATTCTCTTTTCCTCTTTCGATTTAGTTATTAAAATTTTATTAAATATATTAAACATATTAAAATAATTCTTAAAAATATTAAAATTGAAAGAAAGATTTATAATAAACTAAAATAAAAGAGAATCTGTTTAAAGAGTTATAAACACCGTGTAAAAATAACACACATATTGAAGTTATTTTTTACACACTTGAATTTGCAGAGTATAGAGGTCGGAAACATGTCTCGATTTAGAATTTACAAAATACTAAAGGCAATGGTAAAATGCTTGTGCGAAGCAGCGCGCGAATGTGAACATTCTGATGGTTGTAGCATTTCTTATTCTTCCCTGGGGACGAGTCGGATCTTCAGAAAGATTTATCTTCTCAAACAACAATAGCGATTTTAAACTGATCCATTTTGCGAAAATTTGCCACGTAGGGTTTTACAATCAACTCAATACTGGGCCGATATTGATCGTCATAGTCAGCTACTGGCCCAGTACTGGCTAAATATACTGGCTAATAACTTGAGCCTAGTACTGACAGATGGTACTGGCCCATTCATTTTAGCCAGTCATTTGCCAGTGATGGTCCAATACTGGCTGACAGAACTTTCAGTTGACAGTCGTAGTGTTGACTAAGCGTTGCTTTCGTTATAACTGCTGACATCTCTATATGATTGATTTTTTTTAACTAAAAGGGACTACTTTCACCCGATCTTTTTCATAAAGAATCTTCTTTTTTTAATAAAAGGACGATTTTTCTAAGCGATTTTTTCGCAAAAATCGATTTTCAGCGAATCAATCCGGAGATCACATATACCTATTCGTGCCAAGCTGTATCGGACACTTGTGTCTGTCGTCTTGCGCGCAAGTTACTCCATCTCTTCTCTTTCTGTAACTCAATTTTCCCAGCGATGCGACCGTCACGGCATATCGCCACGGTAAACACAGCGAAACCACCGACTCAACAACACACGACGCCGATGAGGCCCGCCCCGCCGCACCGCGGCACTGACATTACAGCGAAATTACTCCCCCGTACTCGCCATCCGGGATACGCGAGCGACGCGTGCGAGAACGGACGATTCGCCCTCGAGCGCAATTTTATTCCGCTGGATAATTGGATCCTCGGGGCCGCAGACTCTAAGGCATCGTCTTCGGTTCTCGGCCTCCCTTCGCACGATCCACGACTATCCCATCATCTCGGCGTTCCTTGATTTCCTCGCGCGATTCGCTGGAGTCGTTGCGTTTGCGATCGTTGCGAGGAAATCTCGCCAATTCGGAGACTTCGACTTTAATTGTGTTCTGTGTGCATTGACTTCGTTATTTTGTCAAAATCTTGCACGCATCTGGGAAGCGTACCAGTAAATGGATCTAGGTATGTTTGAATGATGCTAAGAGATAGCGGATAAAATTTTGAGACAAAAATAAAATGGACAGAAGGTTAGAATATTTTGAGAACAATTTTTCTCCTTAAAACATCGTTTGTATTTATCTTTGATGTGTTTGATGTAATAAATACTTAATAAATAAAATATGGCTCTAATGAGTAATAAGATATTAGAATATTCTATTTTTTTTTTTATAAAACTTTGAGAACAATCTTTTTTTTATTTAAATACTAAACAAATAAAATGAGAATAATGATATTTAAATATTTATTTATTATAAATATAATATTTTGAAATTCTAATAATATTTTTTATATTTATGATAATATTCGAACATTGTAACGACTATAGATGTTTTAAAGGGAAAGAAAAAATAGAACAAAAAATGATTTATAATTAAGGATTACATTTTACCTTAATATTATATATGTTATTATATTATTTTTTATCTTGAAAAAGTGTGTGTATATATATAGTTCAAAGCTAGAAATTGGGAAATGAATAAATAAAAAAAATAATACTAATGATATATAAAGTTTAGATCGTCCAACTTTGCAAATTTTTTGAAGAGGACCTTTTTCTTAAATGAAACTTCTATTTAGCTTCGATGCGTTAAATAATAAACACTTAGGAGACTGATTTAATAATTGCTTCTCTGCACATACGGTGTCGCGAAAAATATATAAGACCAGGCAGAGGACATGTCTTGTTTTTGGAATCCGCAAGACACAACAAGAATTTGTCGTAGCATCCCGCGGTGGTGTGTGTCGGGTAACGTAATGGAATCCCCGAAGTATACTTGTTCGCGAAACGAGGGCATTCGTCTCTCAAGACGAGCGAGGAAGAGAGATACTACCCCGAATTCCCCGAGCGCGAACGAACCGCGGCGCGTCTCTTAATTAGTGGTCGGATTCGCTCCCTGTACATCTCGCCCTTGCACGCCCGCCCGCAATGCCCGTTGTTCGTGTAAACTAGACTTTACATCAACGGCGAGCCGGGGTCCGCGTCGCGGCACGGGGGAAATTGAGTTAAGCCGGAAGGGTCGAAGGTAGCCTGGGAAAGGGGACAGAGTGAGATTTATCTTAACAATAACCCTTCAGGCGTGCGGCGTCGTCGTGCGGGCATCTTCTAAAAATAAAATGCGAAAGGTGTGGAGAGCGGTGAACGCGAAACGGAACTCTGGAGTTTATTATCCCGAGAATAATGAATGTTACGTGAGTTGTTCTGTTTTTGTTTTGAAAGCCCAGTTTTGAAAAACATGAGTTAAAGTTTCTTTCACAGATTTTCATCTTGTTTTTTTCATTTTTCTTATTTTTCAAGTACAGTCTTGGTCGTAAATTTAAAGCATCCTCAATTTATTGCATTTTATTGGAAAAAGTGATAATAAAATTAAAAGGAAAACTAACAAAATAATAAAATTGTTAAAAAAATAAATATTTTTCAATACAACTGTTTTTTCATTTATTTTTCATTTATTTATAGTTAATGTCAACGTTTGTGGGAGTAATTTTACTTTTGGCTAAGACTATACATTGTTTGATATTTTTATGAATTAATTAATAGAAGTTTGATTGTGTTAAAATTGTATAAATGTTTTTACTGAATATGATGCAAGTCCATTTTTAGCAATTTATTTTAAACTGCATATGTGTTCTCTCAAACAATAAATATTTATATCAAGTAGATACAATTTGACTTTTTAATAACTTATTGTTATTATTAATATTTTAAATTTAAATTTATTATTTTTTTTACATCTTTTATTAATTTTTTTATTTAATATTGTTATTATTATTAATATTTTACTGTGGCATGTGGTACAGTAATTCTTGAAATGTTATCATATATGTGTTAGAAATTTTAGATTTTATTCTTAAAACAAATGTTTACAAATAAATGATCAATTTTAGACTAATTTTAGTTAATAAATAAAATTATATTATTTTGTGTTTTACTTTTATTTTCAATTCATCTCGATTTAATCAAGTCGTCTGACTTTCAACTTTAAAAACGCTTAAAGGAAAAGGTTATAAGAACAAATATTTGAGGTAAAATTACTTGTCTTTTAACAATAAATTAATAAAAAGATATTGTTTTTATAGGTATTCATTTCAAAATTACCCTCACTTTATTCCTCTAAGGAAGATGAGTCTTTCTTAGGAGGGAGTCTTAACATTAATTTAAAGGTCTTTGAAATTTAAAGAATTTAAGACGAAGACGATTAAAATTGATCGCGGATAAGATAAATGTATCAGTTAGCAGACATGATCCAAATAATTATTATAAAGACAGAAATTATAAATATTTAGTTTTTAACGATATGTACGATTTTTAAATTTGTTATTACATTTTTATGAACAACGAATTTATTTATAGATTCGTATATCACTAAAAGGATAATATTTAAATTTTTTGTCATTTTGTGTAATAATTAGATGTTTATTAATTGTCCATTAATGTTTATTCCGATATGAATTAATTCTAATCTTGATTACTCTCCATCTTTTTCTAATATTTGC